ATACTTCGTAACTAAGATAAAAACAGAGTTTTGCATGAAAAAAAAAAACACAATAACTTAAAAATTTGTAAAATTTCCCAAAGTTTACATACCTGTGATGATGTCATCCCGCATAATTTTCTGCATAATTCACTCTTTTCTCCGCATAATATGGGGAAAAATTTCCGCATAATTTTGATTTTTTCATGCATAATTCCGACATGCCTGTAAATAATAATAAAAAAAGTTTTAAATACAATCAATTGTTAATTGGACAGTATGGCTCGTGTTCTGTTCATTTAAGAAAATAATTGGATAGGTACTTATAAAGATTGGTGGATATAAAATTTAGTAATTTAAAGATTTTTATGCTTACAATGATAAAATGCATAAACATTGAAAATAAAAAAGTAAAATCAATATTTTGAACCTCAAAAAAGTTAAATGAAATGTGTTTTTTTGTTCATTTCAAAATTATTTCTCTGTTTGTGTCATCAAAAAGTTACAATTATGTTTGAAGGGTGGATCCAGGGAGGGGCAAAGGGGGAGTGTAGGCCTTCCTTTGAGCAGAAAAGATAGATTATTATTTTTTATATATTTTCAAATTTCTAACAAAGAAAGCCCATCATCCCCCGCCCCCCACCCTCTTAAAATTTCAGCTGAATCCTCCATTTGGTTTTTGTCATCCTCGATAATGTGAATTGATCTTGCTGATGCATACAATCACCTTTTAAAAAAGACAACATTTGAACTAACAAGAGTAAGTAATGTTAAAAAACAATGAATTCAAAAACAACAATATTAAAAATGTGACAACTGTTTTGAACGATGAAGGCTACGTTTTTGGTTTTCGAACTGGATTTATTCTCCGTCCTCTTTTTACAACAACATTGAACAACCGCATGGCACAACATGCGCTACTGCGCATGACCATTAACATATGACACAGGAAACCCGCAACAAAAGTAAACAAGTATTAATAACATCCTCCCCTCCTTGATATGTCCATATCAAACACTACTGTTGTGGGAGTTACAATAAGAAGTTTAACAATAACAAAAAAGCTGTCCACTTAGTAACTGATAAGTTCAAGAAAACATGCAATGTTTTCAAGTTCAATGTTCAGTTCCTTTTCACATGTGATTGTCTTTAGGCACTCTTGACACTCCTTTCAATGGGGCATAACTTTACRACAGGTCTTCTCATAACAGTCTTGCCGACTTGAACATCAACGGTGCGAGTGTGGCCATCTGCACCTGGGAAGGTTTTAATGATCCTCCCAAGCGGCCACTTCCCTGGTGGGGTATCAGGCGTCAGCACTAGTACTACATCTACAAGCCTCAAATCCTCTTGAGGCTTGTGCCATTTGCCTCTAGGACTCAGTCCTGGCAGCCACTCCAGCAGCTATCTGCGCCAGAAGTGACATACCAATTCTTGCACTCTTCGCCATCTCTTCCTTGTACGCAGTTGTATCCACAGTTTCTGGGGCGAACTTACCACCAYGGAAGACGATTGGCGCTCACTTTAAGAAATCCTACAAATCCGCCATTTTCTTGTCCACCTAAAATGGCGCTTYGGTTCGCAAGGTACGGTGGGTGGTTATGATTCTTTAAAATATATATATGACATTGACTCGTATGATATCTACTTGTAACGCTTACACAATACAATAAGTGTCATTGACATAAAAATATATATCACTTTCTTTTCCATACTAACGTTTTATCTGAAACCAAAGTATTTTTGTGGCTAGTGCCTAAGAGGCGCTAGCCATAATGTCATTGCCCTGAGTGAGTGTAATTCGGGAATAGCTTGTATTCCATTCGGTTCTTCTCGGGATAAGCTCGTATGTCCACTCGGTTCTCCTCTCGTTAGCAGTTGAAACAAAATGGCGGACAGACGGCGGAAAAAAGTTGTCTCGTTTTAAATGGCCTATAAAATGTAGCTAAAACGCTCAAAAGAGCTGAAAATTATATGCACAATTTACAGAAAGTGTTTTTTTAAGGATTTGCGAAACTGTTAAGAAAAAAATATATATGGAGACACAATGACAAGGCCACAATGACAAGACTTCATTAATGACAAAACCAAACATTTTCGCTACAAATACTGCATTTAATTAAAAAAATCCTGCTATAAGTATAAGGCACTAGCCACATACAGTCTTTCACTGCGTATTTTTTTCATGGCCGTCGTTTCCTTCGAAACTTTTGTTTCTCAGGCGATTTGAGGTCTTTCATTGACTCCACTAGTTCATCTATGGAAGAATCAGCCTGAAAAAAAGTTACTTTCTTCACTGTTTGGTTACTCTTTCTAAGTTAATTTTTAATATTTCCTCGAGAGTTTGGGTTAGACATAGATAAGTGAATATATATTTTTTCTTTCTCAGTTTACAGTCTGTATGGACGACCTTTGAAAGRAAAAAAACTGAAATCGCAAAAAACTCAAACGCGGGGACCCAATCGTATGAATGACTGAGATGAATGATCTTACCAGCTCATCTTTCACGACATCATTTGTTTCTACCTCAGTTTTGTCAGCAGCTTTCTTGATGAGGTTCTGAACAAGCAAATAAAATTCYAATAGTACATAGGGATGCGTAGAATTATACACGTGCTGTATTCAATATACCCGATATTTMATATACAACTTACAGATGTTTCAAATTCATCAGAGTCATCCTCATCACCACTTGGAATGACAATTAAGGGCGRTTTGTCATCGAGCTGTATATAACAATATTAAAAAAATATTGAGATATATATTTCAGAGGATGAAAAAATATTTGTATCTTGGAACCAACCGTAATAATGCGTCCTTTGAAGACGCTTACTAAACGTTGGAGCTTTGCGGCTTTTTCTTTTAGGAGCTGTCAATGAAAAAATACAGCACGTCAGCATCAATTGTTGTGTAAAGGTAGAACTAAAGCAACCCGACTAATTACCTGAGGCAACCTTTGAATGAACATTGTGTTCCTTATTCTTTAAAAGCATATAATGATCCCCAGTGTACGCTAGGTACACATCCATACCGCTCGTACCGGAGAAAGGTTTTGCCACTTGTAATCTCTGTTGTTAAAACAAAACAAAGATTATTAAAAAGCRCATGCACTGTTCTCCTCACAGTGGTTCTCATGCAGTGATATCTCTGTTTCATAATGCGCGTGAACGAGAAACGCGTAAACAAACTACTTTGAACTTTAACCTAACCTTAACCCCCCAAAAATGTGTCAAAAAAAACGAGTAAACCAGTATTATACTTACGCCTTTCCAATCCACGACATGTAAATTGAGCTTCAGCAATGAGGCCGCTGATCTCAAAACAACGTGGTTGGYCATTTCATCACGTAAGGCCAACACTGCGTCCACCCAAGTTTTTGGAACTTCACCAAGTGAAGGGAAGTCAGCATTTGATAAATACTTGTAAAGGTCTGTCTTTTCTACTGAGCCATTCTGGAAAATAGCATTAGTTTTCATTGTCAACCGTTAGTTGGGCATCTACTCATGAATCTTGTTCAAGTTTCAAAAATTTCATTGTCAATAGCAACTATAGGATTGGTATATTGTGCAAACACTTAAAGCACGAAAAATTATAATTATCATTAATTATAATAATAATATGATATGATATAAACGCGAATGAACAAAATTATGAATAAAATATAAGTAATTTAATTTAGATATAAAATATAATTCTAATACTAGAGTGCTGGCACTAAATGCGTGAAATATAAATACTACAAAATAAGTGATAAATTATACAAATTCCTTTGTTTCCTATTGTATAATCAACACTATTTAGTAGTAATTAGTACTATTTGTTTCACGCTTTGAGTACAAGTACTCTAATAATAGTAATTTCAAAAAAGGTAAATTGTRAAAAAATAGTAATCAATTAAATCATAAAAAATGATATTGCGCTATAAAACGTTTTATGTSMATCCTTCGCCCCCCTTCCCCTCCCATGTTGCGGCCATCTTTTGTTATATTGCCTCTGTTCCCATACATTTTTCACACAATTCAGCAACCTCTTTTCCAGGCCCTCTCCCCAATAGTTGAGTTTCTCGATCAGTTTTACGCTGTGTTAGCCTGTTAGTGTGMGAAAATATTCAGAAATGTATATAGATAAAACTCGTGAGATTTTAAACTATATACACACAGATCTCTTGCATTTGCATGGGCTGTGGTGAATAAAAGGATTATTACATGGTTTTGAGCATGTTTTGAGGCTAACACAGCGTAAAGATCCAAACTTAAGGTTATAAAGACTACAAAGGAACAAGAAAATCTCATAAAACTGAATGAATAATTTAGGCACGARCAATTAACCCTTTAACGTCCGCGATTTATTTTGGATTTAAGGTTGTTTTTGAGACTGATATTTCAAAAAATTAAATGTACCCCCCCATATATGGAGTTGTCAATCAAACTATTGTAGATTCACGTTCTTATGAGTTTGTTTACATCAGCGACGCCCGGTGAATTTGAGACGGGTCGCTAATTTAGCCAGCACTCACTCTCAAATTCGCCCAAAAACCGTTTTTAAGTGATTTTTCGAGTCATTTGCTGCCACAGAAGCCCCTAGGACTGCATTATAAAGCTCGACTAGGCGGCAGAGACACTCTTCTGGAAGAAATCAGAGGCGGGAAGCGATTTTTCGAAGACAATGTCGCCAATACGAAGTTAGCTTTGAATTGCCGACGTTAGAGAAAGGTCGCATCCCTAGTCGTTCTGTGGCAGATTTCAGAACCTACCAAGGTAAAATTGGCAAGTTTNCTGTAGGTGCGAGTGGCTTGGCACTTAAAAAAAACTATGAAAACAGGAATGTCGGTTGCTCCCTGTCGAGTTTGAACCAGTCTCCCATGATGCACATCGGCCACGCAATTGACAAATCTAGGTTTGCTGTGCTTGGTGTCGAAAAGGGGGCTGTGGCTAGATCTGCAGAGACTTCTACAAAACAAAAATGCAAAAACACTGGAATGGCCACTTTAAAAAAACGTAGGATTTCGATTTGCAAAAGATAATTTCGACTCTAAAACTGGAGACGAAAAGACGTGATTCCCAGTCTTGTCGGTTTACCAAATAGTCGAAATCTGGGCATCCCTATTTTTCAGGGGTCCATTTTGCCAAAGTATCGCGCTTGTTGTGAAATCTTTTTAACTCTAAGATAGAGTTATATTACTAGCTGTTGTCATGGAGTACATTTGGTGGTCTACTTTTGCGATCTCGGAAACTTGTAATTTTTAGAAGTATCGTTCCTGCAGGAACGATAATCCCTAAAGCGGACGTTTAAGGGTTAACTAGAWAACATTCTAAACTATTTACCTCATTGACGGTATCGACCATTTGGTTGGACAACATGAAGTCCTCTAGCATATCAACAATATCATCCGTTTTGATATCCAAGGACTTAGAGAGGCAGCGATAAAAACATCRGTTTTTAAAACCATCTGGGTCTACCGCTAAGGTGAAACCCATCCTTTTTGCGGCAAGTAATGATTGTAGGCGCCTGTCTTCCATCTAAAACGAGATTCAACGACAYGCGAGTCAATTAATAGCCTTCAACTTATACATGCATCATTCAAGACTTGCACACAAGATGAGTTTTCTGCCTTTAGCAAGCAAAATAAATTAAAAATATGTACTTGCCTTAACTGTCGAAAGGKTAAACTTTCTTTCGAATYTTTGAAAGAAGGCGATTTTTGAAAGATTGACGTRATTGATGAAGTTTTAAAAGATCGCTAAAAGGCCAGATGGTCCTCCAAATAGCACGAGTAAAGAAGGACGTTCCAGGCTAGGTGTAACTTTAAGGCTCAGTTTTCAAAAGTAATATATAACCAATAGGTATTAAATATTATCTACATCAAATTGCTTCAAAGACCTTCAAAATTACATTTTAAAAGAAACGCAAAGTCATCTTTTGCGTATACATTTTTAGCAGATAAATAAATGAATTAATAAATGTTTGTTAAAGTTTATTTCACACGACAAAGACGGTAAGCATGATAAGCGCGAGTCACAATTTGCGGGCTGCGGGTCAAAATTTGCGGGTCATAATTTATTTAATTTCTCAAAAACAAAATTATTAAACAAAAGAAACAAACAAATAAAATCATTAAAAAAAGCAACAAAAAAACAAAATGCACGAATAACAGACCAGACAAAAACAAAACAATGAGAACATAACAGTCATTAATTCCGTATTTTATTGAAAACTGTATAAGAACGTGCTTATACACCCTTTTGATAAGTCCTGAGGTATTGAGCTATCCACACTTGACGTCAAATTTATTCTTTTAAAATTTTTACAACACAAAAAGAATTCAATAAAATAAATTTGACGTCAATTGCGGAGAACACAATACCTCGGGACTTGTTAAAAGGGTGTATAGTGCATAACTGTCAGGTCAGACATGTAGTCTGCTACTAGTAACATTGTAACCCAGTACAACCAGCCTCATGGACGGGTCGTCGGCATCTAAACTGGCACCCCCACCAGTGTATTACACTGGTGAGGAGGGTGGCATGACTCCCAGCAGGACTAAAAACAAAACCTGTTGAAGGGCGAATGAGCCACCGGCCATCATGCAAAAACATTTTGTTTATTGTTTATTGTGATGTAATCTGATTGTTGTACTTTTTTAGTTTGAGATCTTGGGRYRGACTGTGCAGCGGCARCCAGAGGCGCCAACTCAAGCTCACAGTCTACCAAGACTCTCATGTGTTTTGTAGTTGTCATGTAGTTTTAAAGCGCTTAGAACAGAATTGGATAAGCGCTATATAAATAGCATTATTGCTCGGGGCCTGAAGGGCCAAGGGCTTAGGATTGCAAACGCCTTTCCRAAGTACAGAAAATGACATCGAACGCACGACCAAAGACCGTAATTCTAGCGATTAGACCATCGGTTACTTTCCGTCCAATCTTCGGTGTGTYGGAAGTGCTCGAGATACTTTCGGCAAGATTTTTTTTTATRAGAAATGTATCAGTTTCTAGGGGTTCGGAATGTGCATTCGGACTACCGTCAGATCGAATGAATCAGCCTGCTTACATGAAGTACTAACCGAACCGAGAACATGAGAATTCATACATTTAGCATGCAGTAGAAGAGTGATTTGGGTAAATTTCTATTAGATATTCAACTAAAAGAAATTGTTTGAGCATTGATTAAACTGAATATCTTTGATAAACTTGATCAATGTAAGTTTTTACTGCTTACAAAACACTGCCGCCGGTGTCGCGCCAGTGACTGAATCAGACTCATTCAGAACAACCAAAAACACTTAAAATTATCACAAATGTCATAAAATTCAGTCCTAAAACTTTGTCAAAACTTATTCTCTTTAATGTCGTGTCAATAGAATGGCATATAAACACATTTTGTCAATAGCGACATTCGAACTCTTTGAAGTAACTGAAATGAATGAAGCTAGACAACACAAGTTGTCACAGGAGTCCCGGTCCCAAAAAATACAAATATTATTGATGCTATTCGGACCGTCTCTGATTCACATGCAGTCACTAATAATTTTCTCGTAAAAAGGCCCCAAGCATGATGCCATTTTGGCTCTTGTTATCATTATTATTAACTCCAGAATGTACTATGAAAAGTGCTATTTCCATGAAATAGAATGATTTTTATCGGACTGTAAAACAATTACTAATAGTGATTAGTAGATCCTAATAGTTGYATTACAAA